AGGCAGTTTTCACCAGAATCACTTCATCTAATTTATAAATGTCACACGATGTCACATGTATGATGATGTGACTCTGACCAATGCTACCATATTCTAAGAACATAAGAGCCTGCTGGATCAGTCCGATGGCCTATCTAGTTCAGGATCCTATTCTCCCAGTGGCCACACGCATGCCTATGGGAAGCCCATAAGCAGGAGTCAGCGCAAGTACTCTCCCCTCCTGCAGTTTCTAGTAGCTGGTATTCAAGACCATACAGTCTCTAGTGAGAAGCCAGAGCAATAGCCATCATGGCTAGTAGCCATCGATAGCCTTTATCTCTATGAATATATCTAAACTTCTTTTAGTCATCCAAGTTGGTGGCTTCAGTTCCTTTTTTTTTAATGATCTCTAGCATGGAATTTGCCTTTCTCACAGCTTTGAGCACTGAGTTGACATCTTCATCAAGCTAGCTACTTTGATCCCAATGTATTATTCCTCGTCAGCCACTGCCAGTTCAGACCCCACTGTGTGTATATGTGAAATTAAGGGGAGTTTGCCACAATATGCTACTGCTGCTGCTACTGTTTTAATAGTCCTGAACAATTTAGTATCACCAGCAAGCCTCCACACATTACTGCTTATTCCTAACCCTGGATCATTTATGAATACGTTAAAAAACACGGGTCTCAATATCAACCCTTGGGGACTCCGCTTTCTATATTCCTTTATTGAGAGAACTACCCATTTATTTCTTTGTTTTGCATCCTGTTAAGTAACCAGTTTCTGATCCACGAAAGGACCTTTCCCTTTATCCTATGACTGCTAAGCCTACTCAAGAGTCTTTGGTGAGGTACTTTTTTCAAAGCTCTTTGAAAGTCCAAGTTCGCTGTGCCAACAAGTTCACCTCTATCTATATAGTTGTTAACACATTCAAAGAACTAAAATACCTTAGTCAGATGGACTTACCCTTGAAGAAGCAATGCTGGTTCATTATTTTATCTTTAGCAACACTTTCCATCAGTTTTCCTGGAACAGACATTAAGTTAACTAGACTGTAATTTCTATAATCCCTCCTAGATTTCTAAAAATTGGTGTTACTTTGGCCACTTTATAGTCTTCCTATATGAAGGCTGCTCTTAGGGACAAGTTACATACTTTTGTTAGAGGAGCCTCAATTTCACATTTGAATTTGTTGAGAAATTTCAGGTGAATATAATCCAGACCTGGTGATTTGCCGGTTTTTATTTTGCCTATTAGGCCTAGAATTTCCTCTCGTCACCACCATTTGCCTCAGATTTCTAAGGCAGAAGAGGCTGCGAATCCAAGTTTGATGGCCTTCCTCTTATATGATACATGTAGGAACAGTGCCACACAAATTGTTAACCAGAGCCGTATATGCCTCGTTCCTTCAGAGAATCCTGGGAACTGTAATTGGTGAAGGGTTCTGCAAATTGTAGCATTGTGAGGGATTATATGGTGGAAGCAATGTACTTTAAATGTATAGTATGTCTGGAACCATAACTTGTTTTTAATGTTAATTAGATACAAAATTGTGTAAATAGTATCAGTTGTAAATGCTCTTCAGCTGTTCTAGGATGAGCATTTGTATACAGTATAAATATGAGAGAAATTGGCAATACATGCCTAGCATTTACCAATCTGATTAGGAAAAAAGTATCCTACTTTACTCTGGGGGCACTACGAATTTTACTGGTTGCTTAAGATTTCACAATAAGCACAGGCCCTCAATATCTCCTAGTACACAGTGCCACCTACAGAGAGTATGGTGGATTAAAAAGTGTGTGTTCCAAAATCTACACATCACTTTTATTCTCATAGGAGAATGAACTTATCTCCTCACCCCACCCCAGTATGAGTACAATGTGTGTACCGCATTTTAGGAAGATATGTGTGCATTGCTATCAATTTACTAGGATGAGTAAAATGACAATCGTGCATACAAAATTGTTGCCTTGTTACTGTAGGCTTAAAATTAATTTTAAATCTCATATGTAATCATCAAAAAAGAAGCTGCTGGCCATAGATCTGAATTCGTAGAAAACATTTTTTACAGGTTGTTGATTTTGTATTACTTGTGCTGTCATTGGAAATATTGAAGCAAAAAGCCTTAGTTTAAAATCTAGAAGGGGATGACTTCAAGGAACCATAAAATTCAACCAAAATAATTGCTTCTAACAACCATGATGGCAATCTCACATTGAGGAGTGTAGATTTAAAATGAATAGGACATTACTAGAGTAAGCAATTTCCTAAAAACATGAAGGTTGAATGGTACTATTTTGGGGGTAACTAGATAATTCCTGCAACGAGTGGCATTTTAATCTTATTGCAGAGCAGCTTGCATATATTTACACATTTAACCTAGTTTAAATGCTGTGGCAGCTCTGATTATATGATAACACTCCCACTCACAAAAAAACCCTATTGCTTCTAGTTGCACTCTGGTTGCACTATAGAAAGACAGTGTGGGTGTTTCCTTTGAATGCCTGTATTCTAATTTAGTACTGCTGACATCTAAAAAAGGAAGAAACTGAATACAAAACTTTTTAAAAACACACAGGGCTAATTTTGCCTCCTTAGGGACGCAGCAAGAAAGGAAAGTGGGGCAATCCACTCCAAATATGATGATAAAAAACCAAGCTGATTTGTTTTCTTTTTACTAAACCTGTCTGTAGTAATAAATTGGATACAGAAAAGGGAAAAAAATATGTCTGCAAGTTCCTAACCTTAACCAACGACTTTTATGAGCATTCTTATTTGTATGTTGAGCCTTCTGGTTTCTGGAGACACTTTTAAGATGATGTGTTTATTACAGTTTCCCTTTTCACCTTTACAAGTTCACTGAGGTTCCTTGTCCATTGCAAAGCAGTATCCCACCAAGAAAATATGTATGGAAAAATACATATTTGCATGTATAAGGAAATTAATGAAACAACCCTCATCACCTCTAACCAAACTATTTGCTCGTTGGGCACAATCCAGCACAAAATAAAAACTTAACCCTGTCCAATACTGTCATACCAATTAGAAGTAAGGCTTGCTGAGTTTAGTGGAGCTTGTTCAGAAGTAATTGTATGTAGGATTATAGACACAGGGTGAAATCTGTGTTCATATGCCGGTGGAAGAGACATAGTTGGTGGATTGGATGCCCCTCCCCTGCTTGCAGTCCCCCGGGCACCCATAAAATCTTCTCTGGAACATTGGGGGTGAGGGCTACTAAATATTGCTGTCGCAAACCTCTGCTCCATTCATTTCAATTTATTTATATCCTTATTAACTTCTGTTTCCATTCTGCCACTGAAATATATGAAGGCTATCCATCACAAATGCTTAATTCCTTGGGCAATGGTTCAGAGACATAATATGTGTGACTCCCAATGCTGAAAAGGCAAACTTTCGTCAGTTTAAAAGAGGCTTGTTTCTTCAGCTTCAAAGAGAGATCCATATATACTATCTAATCTGGATTGTAGCATTGGTCTGGAAAAATTGCTCTCTGACATTTTGTATCAAAGCCCAGAAATTCGTCTTTCGCCGTCAGAAGTTTTACTGCTAAATTCCCATTAGACGATCAAAACATTTCAAGAGCCATTCTTCTTCTCCCACCCCGGAATGTATCTTGTTAAATAACAAAATGTTAAGCATGCTTTTTGTTGGATTGTTCAATTTGGTTTACTGGTAACAGGTTTTGTTTTCAAAAATGAAGACATTTTCATTGTAGTGTGACATTCTTGGTGAATTGTCATATCGAAGTAGCATTTTAAAACGGGTAGCCAACATGTTCTCTGGATGTTGGACTATAATTCCCATCATTATTGATCTTGGCTATGCTCTCTGGAGCCGATGAGAGTTGGAGCCCAACAACATGCGAAAGGAAGCTCTTCTGTTTTAAAACTTTGGTATAGGAGATAGTATTTAGCACACATGCAATCATATTTTGCAAAGAGGTTTTTGAGAAGACTGAAAACTAATAATGGGAGAAATATTTATTGAAATGAATAACAAATTTGTACACAGTGTGAACTAGCAAAAAATAAATTAGGCAAAGCATTTTCAACAGTAAAAGAGAGCAAATTAATTTTAAAAAACATACATTTTGTGTGGGCCATGCACATTTCTTAGAAGAGACCCTATAATTTCAATGGAACTTACTTCCAAGTATATATTATCACTCTTATCCTACACAATTATGTGGGGTTAGTGGCTTAAATGTTTGTTTACAGTAGGTATGATCCAGCCAAAGTTAAGCATTTTTAAATCCCGCTTGTTTCAGTGGGAGAGATTTGTGCTTAATGCTGCCATTAAAATAAGGTAACCTTGAGTCGCATGTGCTTAGCTAACTGTGTTGTTCCCTAGTAATTATACATAATACTTCAGTAAACTTGATTGGTAATCTAAAACTTCTCCATTGCAAAGCATTGGCATGCAGTGATCTTAGATTTCCTTTCACTTGCTTCAGTTAAGTAACAGGAAAAAGATAAGCATGGTTTGTGAATTAGTGAAAACACCATTTTCTTCACAAAGTCAGGATGTGAAGAAGATGTATTGATGAATCAACGCTCTGGCTTGGCTCTAACATAAAAATCCTTGTTGAGAATGATCCATGTGCTCCTTTACCATTTCCCTTTCATACCCTCATTGCGCAGCAGGTTTTGGCAAAGAAATCCTGGTTTCTCAAACCACAGTTTCCCGGGAGATCCAAACTGAGGACTCAGCTACACAGCTGCAACGATAATGTTACAAGTGCATTATAAAAATGTGACACCAGATGACCCTGTGGAACTCAATGGCAAATTGCATTATATATTTTATAGCGGGGCTTTTTGTAGCATTTTCAAATCGTTTTTTTATATCTGTGTAGATCCAGCCTAAGAAACTGTGGTTTAAGGGCTACCTCCAAACAAGAATATGAAACCAGCAACAATTCCAAATTGATTGGTGCTTTGGTAGTTTAGTGATCTTGTTTAATCTGCAGCTAAGTGCTTTTTTTAATTCTCCGTAGACACCCCTTTATGTGGTAAATCATGGTGAAACAGGACCTATTCGATGCAACAGGTGCAAGGCTTATATGTGCCCCTTCATGCAGTTCATTGAGGGTGGAAGACGATATCAGTGTGGATTTTGTAACTGTGTGAACGATGGTAAGTAGTACTTATTTATTTTGAAATAATGGAAGCCACTTTCTAAGCAAATGTGAAACTACTTAGGTCTTTATTTTTATTTTTTAAAGTTTTTGAAGACTTTGTTTCATTTTCAGGCCAATCTGCATTGACTTGAAAGTCACATTAATTTAAATACCTAAGAAAGTAAGTGAGCCCAAGGTTGCATTCCAAAGTAAGGATCTGCATCTTGCTAAAACTACGTGGTGGATTTTTAAAATATATATATACTAAATGCTTAACTTCGTGTGAACCTGAATTGCTGAATGACTGGTACATCAGAATTTTTATATGTGGTCTTCATGCTCTTTTAGACCTAATTTTGCTATGGACTTTCCTTGTGTCATCCTGGATATCAGAATGGAATTACTTAACCATTTGATCCAAGAAAATGGATGTCACTGGGAAGAGCACAGAACCTGTTTTCTCTAGCCTTAAAGCTGTGATGAGTTAGAAATTCTTTCATTAAGAAAATTCTCCTTCCCAGATGCAATCATCTGGAATGGGAAAGGCATAGGCATTTTGGCATGCAGAATAAACTTTAAGAGCAAAACCTGTGTTGAGCTTTTCACTGGCTTTCCCTAGGGAATGCGTATGTATGCACTCAACAAGGATGATCAAACTATTATGAGAAAATGTACCTGAATCCTTTGTTCTGAAAAGTTCTGTAAAATAATATGGCTGCTGTAATGATTTATGTCTTGTCTGCGATTTCATTAGATTGAATAGGCATGCAGAGGAGGTTATGCCATTATATGAGATTATTTTCTGAGCAGGCTGAAAATGTGTTTCAAAGGGGGAAACATATTTTAACTGCCCAGAAAAGAGCAAATGTTTAGGTTGTTGCCTCCCTTTATGACAGAGGATTTTAATGGTTAAATCATCCATTAATTTTCCCGTGATGGGAGTTGCTTTGAACGCAAGATGCCATGCCATATTTGTCCAAGTGCAGTTGCATGTGACTCATAAGTACGAGTTCCTGAGCTTTTGGCTGGTTCCCAAGACTTTGCCAGAATGAGTCTTTCGAGACGTTTGTATCTAGTTGGATTTCCTCAGCTGGATCAAAGTGGCAGCAGAGAGCTTTCCCTAATACAGTAATCTTTTCAACTCTGAAACATGAACCTCGAAAGACTTATGCCAACTCTTGTTTGTCTCAGACCTTAATCTGCAGAATGAAATAGAGAGAGAGGGCCGTCGGCATCATGGGCTGTTAACTCAGCATGAAGTTCTCACAAATGCCTACTATTTGCATAGCAATAAGCTACCAAATTATTATTTAAACTGATATTGCAGTAAAAATAGAATCATTTGCACTTTTGCAGGGCCTTTTCATCTGTATCCTTTCATGCACTGTAATTAAAGCTTCAAGTACGCTTCATAAGCAGAGGGATTAAGAGAAAATTGTCCAGTCTTGCTGAATAGGTGACTGGCAACAGTGAGACACTAGTGAGTTGTTTTGCATCGGAGACTATGAGTGAAAATTGTAATGCAAACTTTTGTTTCCACGTTGGAGAAGGAAGGGCACTGGGAGTCTTAAAAGAGCCACCAAATAAGACTCATGTTTATCCTATTTATACCTGCCCTGGGATTGCAGAAGTATGAAAAAAGACACCAGGCTTTGTCCCTGGCTTGCGGAGCAAGGGCCCCAGGGTGTATGTTTTATTGCTGCAATCTATTCTAAACTGCCTTGGAGAACATTCAGTTGAAAAGGGGTGCATAAATATTTGAAGTAAATAAGCAACAAGCACCCTAACAGCTGAGCAAGGGCTTATCCACACAGTCACCCAAAATGTTTCTAACTTATTTTTAAGAATTTTGTCATTTTCTTGTTCAGTAGTACTATGTCTTCCCTGAACTATCATGATATTCGTAATAGGCAGGGGAGTGGAGAAGGAGGTTGAACCTAATGCTATTTTCCATTCCTTGCCATCCACTTTTATAAACTTAAACAAGATAAGTGCTTTGTTGAAAAGTCTGAATTAGCAAATTTCTAGCTCATACTGCATTTGAAGCTGCCTTATATGGGGCCAGATTATGCATTCACATGGTAGTTTATTCCACTTTCATGATGTTACCCTACCTCTTAATTTTCACAATATATTTGAGCTTTTCCATGATGTAAAAGCCACTGCCAGAACTATAGTGGGATATAGCACACACCCAGAGCCATCTGTGTGTTTAGCAAAAGGGGAGAAATCAGCTTCCTATTTTTGTTTTTCTTTAGTTCCTCCATTCTATTTTCAACATCTGGATCACATTGGCAGAAGAATAGACCACTACGAAAGGCCAGAGTTATCTCTAGGATCATATGAATACATTGCTACTTTGGATTATTGCAAGGTAAGTCTGTTCAGCCTGGAAAACAGTTTGTAAACTTTGTGCTAAATCAAGGAGAACCCATTACATTTGTAAAACACACACACACACGAAAGAAGGAAAAGAAAGAAGAGAGAGACTCACTTGCATGGATTATAGAGGGAGGAAAGAGCTCTGCAGATTCTTATTAACTATTTGTTGAGGAATTAGGTGCCCTTTGATCAGTGAGGCTTACTACTAGGTAAGTGTCCTTAGGGCTGCAGCCTTAATGTATACCCTCCAACATTTCTCCGAGAAAATAGGGACGTCCTAAGGAAAACTGTGACATTCCAGGTTCAAATAAGAAACCAGGACTGCTTCTGTAAATCTGGGACTGTTCCTGGGAAATAGGAAAACTTTGAGGGTCTTTTATTGGTTTAAGCATAGTCTCTAGTTTTAGTCTGCACCAAACTCAAGGTGATTATGTTGTTGTTTAGTCGTTTAGTCGTGTCCGACTCTTCGTGACCCCATGGACCAGAGCACGCCAGGCACTCCTGTCTTCCACTGCCTCCCGCAGTGATTAAACCCAGTTCTAAATGCATTAGGTGAAATCCGAATAAAGTTAAATGTCACATAAGTTCACATTGATTTTAATGTGGGTACTCACAGGCGTCTGCTTGGCTATTGTGAGAATAGAATGCTGGACTAGATGAGACTCTGACCTGATTTAAGTGTGACATAGAGTTGTTTACTGTTGCAAAAACTGTTATGTGTGCACAGTGCATACACTGTAAGAGCATTTCCATTAATTTCAGTAAAGGCACTCTGTCCATACCCTTTACTTTTGCAATTACAGAATGTGTCCCTCAGTTAAACTGACTGGACATCCTGTACATGTCAAGGCAACTATTTGTACACATACAAAATTGCACAGACCTCTCAGTCAGGTTGTATGGGGTTAAGCTATTTTCATTTTACACAAGGTTTTAATTTAACTGTTGACAGTCCCTTTTTACTGTTGACGCTCCACATTGTAAAGTCTTTCACTAGAATGGTACATTCATGATTTGGGGATAGTGTATCGAATACAACAAAAGCATAATGATGTATTTCCCTCCTACATTGAAGGAAAACCACAATTTTTCTTTGCCTTATTGAATAACAGTGAGGATGAACAGCTAGAAAAACATTAACAAATAACAGCTGTTGAGTAGTGTTAAAATTCTTTGGAATGGATTTAGTAAATGCAGAATTTTTGCTTTTTCAATAAATGTCTCACAAGAGTGCCAACTTAGCCCTGCGACCAGGGGTGCCTGGAGCTGTGGGTGCAATGCAGTGTGAATAGCCCTGGCACCGAAATTTCTGGGTGCCTGGCCCCTTCATGGGGATTTTTGTGGGTGCTTGGGCACCCAGGGAGTTGGTACCTGTGATGTCTCATGAATCTCTCCAAGGTCTTTTGCTATAGAATTTACATAAGGTATGAGAATGTTTGTCAGCCTGCTGCAAATGCAGAAACTGGAACAGCTTTTGAAAACCTCAGATCTCCACTTACATTGCTGTAGTTCACATATTTTACTGCCGGGTGTTGCTTTGGAGTCACTTGGAAATGAATGAAAGGAAAATAAGGGTTGTTATGGCTAGCCTTTAAGTATGCTGACAAAAATCCTACGCTCGTTATCACCTTTGTTGCTGATATGTACTTCCATCTTACCATATCCATTATTAACCTGTGAATGTTTCGATGAACTTTAACAAGTAAATTATAGGCCAGGAAGTGACTTTCACAAAACACTTAACACGTGCAAGCGCTCAGGCTGATTGTTTGTTTGATAATGGAAATGTTAGGGGAGCCTCTTGTGTGTACATTCTGAAACCAGGAGTCTGCAGTGCTGGGACTGGGGTGGAAAGTATGTTGTTTATCATCTTTACGTTTTTGGAGCAAAGGTGAGACTGCAACTGATTGCAACGGATACCTGATATCTCAGTTGACTCTCATAAATTGCCTTGGCGCTGCGGCTTTCTTTAAAAGACATTTGAGAAACATTTGTGTCTGTTTCTTTGAGTATTTGCTTATTCTTTAAATTTCTAAAGTAATTAGTCTTCTGAAAATTGCTGAGCATTGAGTATAAATAGTGGAGGTATCAATGTATTTGATTCAAATGTGGTGTGTGTGTGTGTTATATGATGCTTCACAAGAGAAGCAGCAGCATGCAGAAATCTGTAGGTTTCTGCAGTACAGTGGTGCCCTGCAAGACGAATGCCTCGCAAGACGAAAAACTCGCTAGACGAAAGGGTTTTCCGTTTTTTGATCATTCCGGCAAGACGAATTTCCTTATGGGCTTGCTTCGCCAAGACGAAACGTCTTGCGAGTTCGTTGCGAGTTCGTTTCCTTTTTCTTAAAAGCCGCTAAGCCGCTAATAGCGCTAAGCCGCTAAGCCGATTAATAGCCGCAGCCGCTAATAAGCTCGTGCTTCGGGCAGACGAAAAAACCGCAAGACGAAGAGACTCGGCCAGAACGGATGTAATTTCGTCTTGCGAGCACCACTGTAGTTGGTGCCTCTTGTTACATATATGACAACTTGTTAAAGGGATAAAAACTCCTGTTGAGGGACCAGCCACATGTTGCATGTGAAATGGGTGCATTGCATTTCAGTGTGCCTTATTTTACCTATTACAAATAACAGGCCATTATCAGAACCATTAGTGCACGGGGGACTTTAGGCCCTTTTTCCTTTTTGCCATGGTTCCCAGTTGGAGCATCCTCCGCCACATTCATCAGTGCTCTGAAGCTGCTTTTCATCTGGGAAGCTGTGTGTGTTTGTGTGTGAGAGAGATATACAGTACCGGTATATTTCAGTGGCACCACAGTGCATGGGGGCCACCTATGTGTGATGATCCCAGTGTCTCTTTCTCCCTGCCAACTTTGGTTTTTTTAAAATAAAAACAAGATACATGCAATTACATGCATTTAACCTATTGTCTTCTTGGGGTTGTTCATCAGTAAATGCTGAAAATCTGAACTCTGTTTTCTGATTGCTACAGTCATCTGAAGGTATATATTTTTGAAGCTTTTAAATTGGATAAATAAAAGCTTCATACAGAAAGAAAGAAAGAATGAATGACTGAATGAATGAATAGAAGATGAAAAATAAAAATGGGGAAGCTACTTGTTAAACACCTAGGTATAAATATTGTGTGAGGGGGAAAAATATTTGTCCAATTCTTAACAGTTTTACTGAAACACAACTTTTGTCAGTAAAAAACATTATCCTACGGCAGTGACTTACCTGTGCAAATAAATAAGCAAAATGATTGCTCAACAATTATTAGGGGAGTCTGTGGAAATATCTGGGTGGATTATGAATCTTTGGTAGGTTTTTATTTTTCCTGATTTTTGTGGCTGATTTCTTTTTTCTTTTTTGTAGAACAACAAGCCTCCACAGCCGCCAGCCTATATCTTCATGATTGATGTTTCCTACAATAACATAAAGAGTGGCCTTGTTAAACTTATCTGTGAGGAACTGAAGACTGTATTGGATAGACTTCCAAGGTAAAGACAACAGTAAACTTCTAGTACATTTAGGATCCTTGGTGAAGATGTAGTAACTGCCAGGTAAAAATTCTTTGGTGTTTGCATAGAATTTGCTCCATGCTCTTTTTTTCCTTCTGGATATCACTTTCTTGGGGTTCCCAGTTTGGTTGGTTTGAAAGATTCTGCTCCTCATCAAGCACTGCAGCCATGACATGAATGGCACGGAATGTCTTGGTTTGCTCCCTCCTCCTCCATGTTGTGACTGCAGAATCCATATGTACTCCATCCGCTGGTTTTGCTGTGCTGTAGGAAGGTCAAACTCCTTCAGTTCTGCTCAGCTTTCCAATACTGTTTGAGATGCATGCTCTCTAGCATGTTTCAACAATGGCACGTGAGACAAGGAGCCACAGTTAACCAGTGCATATTGATGTACCAGTGTCTACACTTCTCCCTTGTTGCGAGTGGGAAAACAAGCCGACTTTAAACCATGGCTTCAAACGTTGGCTTGATTTGAAGCCACTAACCCTGGTTTCTGGGTTTTCTATGATTACATGTTGAATCTTTTGCCACTTGCGCATATCATTGGCTTATAGAACTAAACCAGGGTTTTTGGCTCCGTGTTGTGTGCAAATGCTAGTGTTTAATTTGTATACATTGGGCTACAGTCATACCTCGGGTTACAAACGCTATGGGTTGCACGTTTTGGAGTTGCAGACCGCACCGAACCTGGAAGTACCGGAACGGGTTACTTCCAGGTTTCGGCACTCGCGCATGCGCATAATCGCAAAATGATGTTACGCGTATGCGCAGAAGCGCCAAATCGCGGCAGACGTGGCGCTGCGGATTGCAAACGTGCCTCCCGCACAGATCACGTTCACAACCTGAGGTACTTACATACTGGACAGGAACTGGTACAGAGCTGTGGTGGTTGGCAGAAGTGAGATTTGCTTTTTGCTCCCTTTCCTCATCTGATTATTCTGGATGTATTTCCTCTTTCTCTTCATTCCTGCCCCGTAAGCTTCAAACAGGCATTTAGCTTAAAATAAAATAGTAACACTTCAGGCTCCTGGTAGTGTACGTTCATCTGTTTAAATGTTTACCTGGCTTTCCCCAACCCCCCAATTTGAAATACAGTAGTACTTCAGAGGGCAGAGTGGGGGCAGGGGCGCCACACAGCATTTTCCTGCTTGAGGCAAAGTGGGATGTGCCACCCCAGTCTGCTTCTCTGCTGTGCCATCTTTGCCTCAGCTCTGCCCACCTATACCAGCAGCAGCACCACGCCACCGCCGCTGCTGACAGAGAAGTCGAGCCGCCATCAGCGCTGATTTCTGGTGAGATCTTGCCGAAATCTCGCAACATCTCTCTTGCACTGTGAAATCTCATGAGATCTTGCAAGATCTCACAGGAAATTGACACCAGTTCCAGTGGTGGAAGTGATGGAGCTCCCATGGTGTCACAGCCTTGGGGGCTTCCACTGCCTGAGGTAGCTGCTTCACCCTGCCTCGTGGATGGACAGAAAGGACTGACTTTAGGACTGTCACAAGGACAGCTCAGCTTCACATCTGGGTTTTGCTGGAGCCATGGGAAAAATAAACAGCTGCCCTTGTGCTGTTTTCTGAAAGAAATGTGGCCAAGAAAAGTGTGAGTACAAATTCATAGTGGGCTCACTAATAACACTAAGGCTGCATGCACAGATTCCCCCCCCTGGACTTCCGGTCAGCGCCAGCACTTAATGGCGGATTTCCCCCGGAGTTCCCGAGGGGGATCTGCTTCGTAGGTTCGGGTCCCGCGGCTACGGCGGAGCAGGGACCCTTAAAAATCACAGGCGCAAAGCCTGTGAGCCGGAGACTCGGTGGACACCATTGCACCCCCCCAACGCTGCGAAGGAGCCTTTTTAAAGGCTACGGAACAGCAGCGGGAGTGTGGCGCAAAGATTGTTTCTTGTTGTACAGTTTAGACACTCAGGATATGACAGTTAATTAATATTAATATGGTAATTAATAAAGCTCTCTTTTCCCCCTCCTCCATGCAAAATAATGCTTTTGAAATTTAACCTGCAGCTGTGTTTTCTAAAAACTATTTCTCTTCCAGGGAGGAGCAAGAGGAGGCTTCAACTATTCGGGTTGGATTTGTCACCTACAACAAAGTCCTCCATTTCTTCAATGTAAAACGCAATCTTGGCCAGCCTCAGATGATGGTGGTCACTGATGTCAGTGAAGTGTTTGTCCCTTTACTGGATGGCTTCCTCGTCAACTTTCAGGAGTCAAAAGCTGTCATAAACAAGTAAACATACAAATTATGCTTTTTATGCTCAGGTGTGAATATCTTCAATAGCAATTACCTTGGGTGATTTCATCAATTTTCAAGCTACAAAAATTTGACAATCACATATTTAAAGACCATGGTTATGATCTAGAGAGATATGCAGGTAAAACTTGATTGTATGTGTACTTCCATAGGTGCATAATGTCCATAGACCAACCTTCCCTAATCATGAGTCCCTCAATGTTGTTGGCCTACAACTCCCATCACCCCTGACCTGATGTCTGTAGCTGATGGGGGTTATTACAACAATACGAAAGCCGATACAAGTAAAGACAAGAACTTTAAACAGCAGGCCCACAATTTACATGGCACTGTGCCTAAAGCCAAAATGGCATTTATTCACAACACACTGGGTGCAATAGCAGGTGGGGTTGCCAAACTTAAATGCACTTAAATGCACTTAAGTCGCCAGCTTTCTGTATGCAAATAAATAATATGACTAAGATTGCACTGCTAAAAATATACTATTTATAGAGTGCATACACAGGAGTCGTAATTTATTTTTGTATATCGGTGCAGTCAAATGAAATTTGCCTTACAGCATTACAAATTTGTCTTTTGATTGAGGAATTAATGTTTTGTGCAGTATGGCTTATAATGTACTTGAAAAGTATTTTGTAGCTTTTAAAATCTTTTCACTGCATACAAAACTTCTAAATAAATTAGAAAGCAGTTTCTTCTGCAAAACAGGGAACTGTGCATAGTCTTGTAGAGGCTAATGTACCAGCAACATTTCTCTCTCTCTCTTTTTTAATGCAGAGTTTAAATCTTTCAGCAAAGGGGCCTGGTGTCTATATGATTTATTTTCTTTGAAGGATTATCCTGTCCATTCCAACCTGTTGAAACACTGATCTTTTCCCCCTGTCATAGCTTGCTGGACCAGATTCCAGAGATGTTTACAGACACTAATGAGAGTGAGACTGTCTTTGCTCCTGTTATCCAGGCTGGCATGGAAGCGCTAAAGGTTAGAATGTTCTTTTCTGTGCAACAAAGTCTTTATTAGGACTGACTTTATAAGCCACGAAAGCTCTTCTGGAGGAAGGCTAGCCTTTCCCACAGGTCACGGCAGGAAGCAAAAGGAAACACCAACCATAGTACTTTGTAATATAACTCAGAATTCAGGCATACTGCGCACAGGTGCAAAACAATAAATCCTTCAAATTGTAAAGTTTATAAATTGAAGTCATCTACTTCATAGCACACACACAACACTGGGAACCAGCTGTCAATCTTAACTTTCCAGTGTATGCAAAACAGATATGGACAATACTCTGTTGTTGTTGTTTTTAAGTCATATTTGTTAAATATATAAAACAGTACATGATTCCCCTGCCCATTTACACAGGCCCTGTATACCTGAAGGAGCTACTGAGGGACACTGAGATCCAGCTCTGAGGGCCTTCTGGTGGTTCCCTCACTGTGAGAAGTGAGGGTACAGGGAACTGGGCAGAGGCAGGGCAGAGGGCCTTCTTGGTAGTTGCTCCCGCCCTGTGGAACGCCCTCCCATCAGATGTCATGGAGATAAAAACTACACAATTTTTAGAAGACATCTGAAGGCAGCCCTGTAAAGGGAAGTTTTTAATGTTTTACTGTGGTTTTATGATTTGTTGGATGGTTCCCCAAGTGGCTGAGGTTATTGTGTCCACTGCGGTGCTAGTCTAGAGTCCAAAACATAGAAAGAATCGGTGCTTAAATTACAGCGGTAGGAGAGGAAAGGAAGTGAGGTGGCACATATCATAGAATTTAGTTTTTCTTCACACAGGATTGAATCTGGAAGGGCTGTAGCTCAGTGGCCGAAAGGCTTTGGGAACAGCTCCAGGTTCAGTCCTTAATATCACCCACTAGGACTGGGAATGACTCTTGTCTCAAACCTTCGATAGCCACTGCCACTCAATGTGTATTACAAACTTGATGGCACATTTGGACATCTAAGAAACCACATGCCAAACACCAGGCAAAGTTCCTACTACAACCCCACCTCTAAAACCAAGCAGTCCCTGCACCAAACCACCCTATTAAAAAAATGTGAGAAAAATTCAGTCTTTAAAAAGAGGCCTTGGTAGGTGTTGTGGGGTAATGTGGTGCCCATGGGAACCACATTGGGGAGCCCAGTAAAGTTTGATGGATCAGTAGTCTGACTCTGTATTGGTTATAGGTTTGGTTCTTACCACAGTTTTAAAAATAATTACAGGTAGCTAGTCATGTTGGTCTGCCGTAGTCGAAACAAACAACAAATTCCTTCCGAAAGCTCATACCAATAACCAACTTAGTTGGTCTCTAAGGTGCTACTGGAAGGAATTTTTTTATTTTAAAAAAATAATTGTGTGGCTTATTTGCTGAGTTGTCATGATGTAATCCTGTTTTGATGCCAGGCATTAACAATTTTGGTGTCATTCTCAGAGAAAAGCAATATAGCTGGTGCCTTGGCTCTTTTTGTATTAAACGTCAGCATGTTTCTGGAGAGGGTAAGAAAGCTGAAGCACATTTCAGTTTTCAGGAAAATGTATTTATTTTTTATAAATTTATATAAATGCCAAATGGCATCTGTCATGAATGAAAGAAATAAACAAATGTGCTGGAAGCAGACACACAGGGAAATTAAAACCAAAACCCATAAAATGAATACATGACAACTTCAAAGGGGGCAATCTGAGTCCATCTGGAATATTTTTTGTGTATATTTACCATGAAAGTGATCTCGGTGGCCGTGCAGACTTCTCGTCTCTGCATTTATTTTCCTTTGTTTCTTTTCCGCATGATGCCAACTGTGAGCAAATACAGTCAAACATCTTATGCTACAGCATAAATCAAATCTTCTCAGTATTTTTCCGTTCTTTCACCATCTTCCTGGGAAAAGGAAATTGGTGATCGGGTAAAATGGGTGCTATTTGAAAACTTTAAATACATATATTGGGGAGTTTGGGGGGGGGAATGTACTAAACCTTGGGTAGGTCACTAGGGGCACATAAGCAAACTGCTAAGGCTCCAGTGTGTGTGCTGTACATTAAACTCACTCCTTGTGTGAATTGATGGTCAAGACCAGTATGAGAGCCAGTGTGGTGCAGTGGTTAGTGTCGGACTAGGACCCGGGCAATCAGGGTTTCAATCCCCACTTGGCCATGAAGTTCATTGGGTGACATTGGACGAGTCTCTGCCTCTCAGTCTAGCATAAGAACATAAGAATAGCCTGCTGGATTAGGCCAATGGCCCATCTAGTCCAGCTTTCTGTTTTCACAGTGGCCAGTCAGATGCCTCTGGGAAATCAGTGAGCAGGGTTGTTGTGGAGATGAAATGAGGAGGAGGAGAACCATGTACACTACCTTGGAGAAATAGGTGGGATATAAAGGCAACAAATAAGACATATTCCGTTTCTGGATCCTAAACTGCCCTCATGCCTACTCCCCACCCTCACCCCCTGTAACGACTATGTTCTGTTTCTGGGTGCTACCAGAGGTGTGTTTATTCTGGGACTGATGATGCTGGTGCATGTTAGCATCAAAATACCAGCCCGCCCATCCCCGATTTAAACCAGATTTACCCTTTCCAGATTAAATGGGGAGGGGAGGGGTTGTAAATGGCATTTTGATGCCAACAGTTCTGTGTGGGTGCTGCAAAAAATAGTAACAATAAAAACCGAGGAGCATGATTGCAATATCTCAGTGACCAGCTTGGAAATTCAGTCCCCATCTATAAGCCCCCTCAAGTGATAGCTATGAGCCTTATGATCTCTGACATATAAAAGTACAATTTCCACTGTTTCTTTTCCTCCTTTCCTTGATTTATACTGGGAATACATGTGGATAACTGTTCTGAGAATTATTTGAGCAACTAGGTCATTTTAGGCATCTCTGAAGCAATTACAAAAAATTATGGAATTTGTCTCCTCGGTTTTTTGAAGATGCTTAGAGTTCTTGCTAACTGCCTCAAAGCAGTGAACAGAATATTGGCTTCCGCTGGTTTCCCATCTCTGCTCAGCTGCAAAACTTGCCAGATGAATATTATGCCATTTATTTGATCTACATGGGGCTGTCCTTGAAGATGATTCAGAAACCTTCATCTGGTCCAAAATGAACCCACCAGATTTCTGGTCGGAGTTTCATTTGGAGTTCAAACATCCCTTTTTTAAAAACAGCTGCAGTGGCTATTCTGTTAGACTGGGATAGTAAACATACACATACCAGAGTCTTGTTGTGGCTTAAATACTAGCAGATTTATTGTAGCATAAATAGATGGCGATTCTGAGAGTAAAGTGTTAGAAGTAAAGTGTCCAGAAGTCTAACTCAATTCTGCCAATTCCCCATCAGCTGAGGGATTTGAAAGCCATAAATCTTTGTGTTTCATCCCTGATAAGAGGGGTCCACAGCAAACATTATCCTACTGGGAAAGCTTCAGGTTGCCTGAAAACAAACACTCCCCCATGCCCAAGCTATTTTTATTGTGGGTAAAATTGGAGGACAAAGTAAAATTTGATTGTCTGTCATTGATAGGGGAGTGTTTTTGATGTACCTGTGCCTTTTGGCCAAAGTAAAAGTTGGGAAAACCTCTTCTACTGCTATGTTTCATCCATGTGTGGTGGTAAAAAGCACAAACAGTGGCAGCTCAGCATAAGTGCTTTTGTACTGCATCTAACAGACTTTGCTGGTAACCCTTATCTAGAATGCAAACCTTCTGGTATTCGCTTTCATTCTTAAGTCATCCTTTAAACGCTAGATTATTGAGTTTGGGGAGTGTTCCCATCACAGGTGTCTTTTGAAGCTGAATCACTGTTTTTTTAGACTGGATCAACAGACAGCTTGAATAGCACAGTACAGCAGTCCAAGAGCATCGTACATACACATGCCCGCCTACCTCCACCCTGGTCTAGTCTGAAATCACTCATGTAGGAATAGCAAAACAGAAAGCTGCACAGGCTACAGTATTGTGTACTCTGCCAAGGTAGGCATGCACCAGAGTGCAGCATCAGAGGATCCATGACCATTCCAGCCCAAGCTGTATCCTGTACTGAACCCACAGCACCCTTCCCTAATTCCATTGCTAATTTGTTGGTCATGGTCTTAATATAGCAAGAATAGTATCATTCTTCCTCTTGCATTTGAGCCTCATGAGCAGGTTAGCGCTGGCACACACCTGCGCTTAGAATCTGGCATATTGTTTCCATCCCCCTAAGTATAATGCGCTTGTTTTGGTTGATCCCTAAAGGTCAGTCCAAGAACTACATGTTCTGGAGTAGGGCCCAGTTTGATTACGCATTGCAAGTGGACAATTTATTGATTTTTCTAGTGCACTGAAATGTGTTTTTAATTCATTTTGTGCCATTTAATAATTCCTGGCATACTGTTAGCATGAACTGCCCATAACACTAGTTTTCTCATTTATATGTGTATATTAGCACTGATATATTGAGGTGTTTGTGTTAGATTATTTGTGGTTATTTAAAATTCTGAACTTCCCAGTTATTTTTTTCAAGGTGTCACCAAAAGTTCAAACTCTAAACAAATGCACTATGTAGTTTCCAAAGTAGTTTATGCTGGTATTTGAGACTCGGCTAAAATTGTATGGAGATCTGGCTCAAATATTTATAATGCCAGCTTGAAAAAAGGTCATTTCTTGTGTCTTTGCAACAGGCAGCAGAGTGTGCTGGAAAGCTGTTTATCTTCCATTCTTCCCTGCCGACTGCAGAAGCACCAGGGAAGCTGAAAAGCAGAGATGATAGAAAATTGGTCAATACAGAAAAAGAAAAGGTATTTCAGTGTTGGTTTGGTTTTTTTTGTATGCAACATAGTACAAAAATATATGTTACTCTCAATGGGTAACGTGAAGCTATAGATCTGTTTTTTACTTCAATTAATTTCGGATTCAGGGGGATTGTTATTGGGAATGCAGTGTTCCGGGAAAAGGAGATTTTCCCGTCCCGTCGTTCCTCAGCTGCTGTCAGGACTAAAATAGCATCACCCTGAATCACTACAAGAGTCATAAAAAAAGTTCCAATTGGTGCCCATGGGAACCTTTTTAAAAAACTTCTCTACCTGTGCTGGGGACTACACTGATTTTAGCTCTTTTTGCGGCTGGAGGCGTGGAGATAACACTTTACTTATTCTTCATTTTACCATAAGAGCCCAAACTACATGTACAGTGTGAAGGTATGCGATCAGGATTGGAGGTTTATTAAGCATAGCATGTAGTTTGGCTCTTATGGTAAAATGATTACTAAGTAAAGTGTTATGCTTAGTAGACATTTAATATAGCAACAATCATATCTCTAAACTGAATATCAGTTTTTGTTAATCATCTTTCCCACCCAGGAATTCTTTTGGTGATTCTTGTCATTGTTTAAGGAATGCATCACAGGGTGCCTTTATACTAAACATGTATTGCATAAGTTACTGCTGGCATTTTCCTTGAGTTTTGCTGTTAACTATTGCATTTAATGTATTGGGTTTATTTAAACTGATTCTTTCTATTGTTAACCAGATCATGTAGTAATCATGCTTAAATGATTACTACTAATGAAATAGTATATTTGTAATTAATGTAAACAACCCTGGGAAGATAAGTCTTTGAAAATGGGTTAGAAATATGTGAGATAAAGTAAAATAAAATATGCATTTGCCCTTGAAGTTGACATGCTATGTTAACATTAGCAGCCTCATACGCAGTGCTGCTTGGGTATTCTAAGAAACCAAAAAAAATGGTGCCATTTTGAAAGCTTCTTTATACATCTTGATTCAAAACTGCATCCAAACATAGACTAAAATGGCTCCTTTGATCTCTGTAACCACCATGCAAAATTAAGTTGCAATATCTTAAGAGGTATCCAAATGCATGGTGAACAAACAACTCTGTGAAATATATCGTATATGGGTATAGTAGACCTTTTAAATGTTTTCACTGTGTTTGCTTTCCTATTTTTTCTGCTAATTCATATTGAATTATGTCAGGTTGTTCTCATGAATGGTGTTTTGTTTGTATATTGCTCAGTACTTGCCTTTAAACTCTCCAGACACTGTTTCAACCCCAGACAAATATTTATGAGACCCTGGCCAGAGACTGTGTCGCTAGTGGCTGCTGCGTGGATCTGTTCCTTTTCCCAAACCAGTATGTTGATGTAGCCTCCATGGGCCTTGTAACAATGCACACTGGAGGAACTCTGTACAAATACAACAATTTTCAGGTAAATGTCAGAAGGTTCTCTTTCTGTCCACTTGGATGCATGGAATTTTATGTGCATAATATGCTGCTGTTTCACCTGAAAATGAAATAGTAAGGATCTAATGATGTCCTCTCATGGACTGAATGTAGATTTGGAGATAAGTCACAGCGTGTCTAGATTAGAGACTTACTGTTGTATCCAGAATTTGTGAAAAAGCATTGCTTATTTAAACAATATGAACTAGAGCAGAGCTGATACTACAACTCTAATCTTAAAAGGTAAGTGCTGAGGGAAAAGTGCAAATGCATGCTAATCTTCTACTGAACTAAGTTCTTGCAAACCCCTGAATCTTTTTAATGAAATATCTGCTACTCTACATCAGTGTTAAAAATAAAGCCATTGGCACAACACTGAAGCAGTGAATGTGGTTAAAAGCAAGCTCTGTCTTGATCAAGGAAAACAGTTTCTGAGAAAAGAATTTCAGATCACTAGCTTTAAAATGTATGCTTGCTCCAGTTATTAATTTAGAAAACAGGCATTTCGTTTGTTAAACATCCGTTATTGATTCTTGGATTCATCTGAAAGATGTGGGCTTTTGTTACTAGTATTACGTCTGAGAAGTTAACAAGCAGGTTGAGCTTTTTTTATATATAAAAAGTCTGCTGGAACATTGGTGAGTCTGACAGCCCTATGAAAGTTTTTTCACTGTACTCCTTATTAAAAGGAAAGTTGAATACCACTGAATTTCTTAAGAGCCTGCAAATTCTGTTCAAGTCCTGGAACAACTTTCAGCATGTTGCTGCCATCCAGTGGCAGGTCTACAATTTGCTTAAGAGATCTCTCCTTTTATGTTTTCATTTAGGTCCATTCTGACAGCCCCCAATTTCTGAACGATCTCAGGAAGAGTATAGAAAAAAAGATGGGATTTGATGCTATCATGAGGGTTCGTACTAGCACAGGTAACCACTAGAAATTACAAGTGGCGCCTGCGGTAGAAATTGCAATGTGCTGTACTCAGTTCAGTTCTCCAATCCCTTCAACAGTTAGTCAGCATTTGTAGTCATTAAGAATACTCATTCCTCAGTCAGCTGTTTTTTTGGGTTCCCTCTACATTCCTCCCAGGGACGCGGGTGGCGCTGTGGGTAAAACCTCAGTGCCTAGGACTTGCCGATCGTATGGTTGGCGGTTCGAATCCCCACGGCGGGGTGAGCTCCCGTCTTTCGGTCCCAGCTCCTGCCCACCTAGCAGTTCGAAAGCACCCCTAAGTGCAAGTAGATAAATAGGTACCGCTTTATAGCGGGAAGGTAAACGGCGTTTCCATGTGCTGCGCTGGTGCTGGCTCGCCAGAGCAGCTTCGTCACACTGGCCACGTGACCCGGAAGTGTCTCCGGACAGCGCTGGCCCCCGGCCTCTTAAGTGAGATGGGCGCACAACCCTAGAGTCGGACACGACTGGCCCGTATGGGCAGGGGTACCTTTACCTTTACCTTTACTACATTCCTCCCACTTTTTTGTACCTCGGGGTTCCCTTAAAGTTTCTGATAGGTCCCTGATGCTGGTGCTGTTGTAACTGCATAATCGACTGCCTGAACCAGAGATAGAGAGGGAAGGTTTTTTTCTGGCCCAGTTACTATTCGGCTTTCTTAGCTGCAATTCCCCACACTTTTAGTGGAACAGTCTTAGTGTGGCATTGGGAATCCAGCAAAAGCAGAGGAACAGGGTTAGGTCATATGTAAACATGTGAACAAGCCATGCATGCTTTCCAAATGAGAAACTGCCAGTGTCCCAGGATTTAATAAGTATTTGAATCCCATAGTTCAGAAATACATTAGCAACTGCTGGCAGCTTCCCAAATCTAGTAGTCATGGATAATCTGGACTGATGTTATTGTTGGCCCCATTCATCTCTAGCAATAGTGTGTTTCTGAAGGTCAATTAACACATTGCTTCTCGAGTTGAAAATACCATCACACGGTGATTTAATCTTTTTGTCAGATTCATTTTAACATTTCATATGAATGTTCTGCAGCATAGTGTCATGGCATTCATCACACAAGGGCAAAGGGTTGAGAACTAACATAATAAATACCAACTGTTGCCACACAGAGCAATTTTCAAGTGAAATGTTAGCCATGTGAAACTGACAAGATAACAGAAATCTGTGGTTGCCCTTCCACATCAAGTAACTTGCACATCAGTCCTGAGGATGGAAGGAGGGCAGAGGAGGAATGCCACCTCTGACTGTCTTTCAGCTCTGGTGCTGATGCTGCTGATAGCTGGCAGTCCATACATGAGATTATTTTGCAATCTGCTCTAGGTTTCAGGGCTACAGACTTTTTGGGAGCTGTTTACATGAACAACACCACGGATGTCGAAATGGCAGCAGTAGATTGCGACAAAGCAGTGACAGTAGAGTTCAAGCATGATGACAAGTTGAATGAAGACAATGGAGCTTTAATCCAGGTAACAAGTTACCCTATTTTTTGCTCTATAAGACGCACCAGACCATAAGACACACCTAGTTTTTGGAGGAGGAAAAAGAGAAAACAAATATTCTGAATCTCAGAAGCCAGAACAGCAAGAGGGATCACTGCACAGCGAAAGCAGAGATCCCTCGCTGTTCTGGCTTCTGGGATAGCTGTGCAGCCTGCATTCTCTCCATAAGAAGCACACACATTTCCCCTTACTTTTTAGGAGGGAAAAAGTGCATCTTATAGAGTGAAAAATACGGTATATAGGTTCATGTGCTTGGTCTGTTCAGGGTCTCTCTCTGTGATTGATAAATGTGTACAGCATTCCAGACATTTCCCCCTAAAGTAAGTCTTGTGTTATAAGAGTTTTCCAGCATTCCAGACACTGATATTTTCCCACCAGGGAAATAAGATCCTTTTGCCATGGTTACTGCAAATGTGGAATGGGAAGGCACCATCTTGTCCTTTGCCTCAGGCAGCAAAATGGGCCCTTTCCTTTCTCCATCATCTGAGCTAGCAACTATCCTGAGGGCACTGAATAAAAGGAAATATCCACAAAGTTGAAGCAGCAACTGTAAGGAAACCTTGCTTTTCTAGTGAGAAATAGGTTTGAATCTGGATGGAAGCTCCTCCCAGCATAAGCATAACATTACACAGGTTTATCTTTCTGTTCATGAGAGGGTCAATTTATTACAAAGATGGTTTCTACACCATAAGAAAGACAATGCTGGAAGGAGGAAAGCAGGCAGTTGGGTCACTTGTCACTAGCAACATCAAGCATCCATGGTTATCCATGACACCTGCAAAGCCACATTCTGCATTCCATCTTGGACTTCCACATTGGCAATGGGATAGTGACCTCCCAGACATTTGAGGGCAGCTGGCTAGCTTTGGGTTGTACAGGGGGAACAGAGGACTGCTGAATAGTCCCCCAGCACCTGCCACCTGAAGTAGCTGCCTCACTATGCCTAATGGTAGGGCCAGCCCTGAAGGCACTCTCCCTTACTGATCATATTGGCAAGCACTATCCAGTGCTCCTCTCATAGCAGGATGAGAGGACAGAATTGCAAGGAGATGTGTGGATTGTTAATAGAACAGAATGGATGCAAATCTGCTGCAATGAAACTACAGTGGTTTTGCTTCCCAGTGTCCTATTAGAGAATTGAAAAGCTGAGTATTCCGCCACGCCCCCCCCCCGGCTTTTCTGCCTCAAAGGAGTTGATGCAGCAATTCTTTAAAACCTAGACATGCTATCAACTTCCACATGAGGTGAAGACTTTTTATTTTGTCATGACTGCTTCCTCTCTCTCTTTTTTGGTGCAGGTTGCAAATCTAGTTCTCAAAATGACCTAAACCCTTTACTTTTAGTACAGTTAGTCATCCGTCTTGAAATATAGTCCATGAGTCAGCCACAAATCCTTGTTGTAAATGTGGTACAATAAAATATAATGAGCCTTGGCAAGGATGAAGGCGTTCCTTAGGAAAACACATCTCTGCCCTAAGCCCTTGTATATCAAAGGGAAATGGAGGGTGTCTGTCTTGGTACCACAAGAAGAGCTGAATCAGAACCATATGGTTCTGGTTTTAGCACCTGGGATCCCTTTAAGATGGGATAGAATATCACCAGGTTGTTTTTTTTTTGGGGGGGGGTGTCACAAGACCCACTGTAGTTGTGATTGAAATTTTTTATACTGTTTTTAATGCGGTATTTCACATAGTTGTGACCGGCCCTGGGACCTTGTAATAAATATATTAATACCAAAAGTAAGAGATGAAATTACGGTTTCTGAAAAGTGAATTTCACTTTTATGTTAATTGCAGTGTGCCGTTCTCTACACATCGATGAGTGGTCAAAGACGACTGCGTGTACATAATATTGGCCTTAACTGCAGCTCCCAGTTAGCTGAGGTCTACAAGAGCTGTGAGACCGATGCGCTTATAAATTTCTTTGTTAAAACAGGTAAGCTTTGGATGTATGCTTTGGGAAGGGGTATTTGAGGGTGGCTATGGAGCCTAACTTCTTGAGTAATGCCAAATATTATAAATCAGTGTTGGCACCTCAGAGACACATTAACTTTTGGATGCATGAATAAAATGTTGCATGTAGCTGGTCATCCTCCTAAGTCAACTTCTTATGTATTTGCTAGGTTCTTACGCAAATCACAATCTCATAGTTTAATTCCACAAATTGTAAGTAACACAAGAATATTGGCATATTTAGGTCACATCCAAGGGGCATGCTGAGGATAAGCCATGTTGTGTCTTGGATGTATGATAGAAACCCATTCTGAGTACTGTTTTCACTTTCATATGATTCACATTTTAAACCAAGAAAATGGGCAGGTGCAATTTATTGGACTTGGATCTGCTTTAAAAAGGTCTGAAATGTGTTTTTAAGAAGTTGATCAAATAAAACTCTGGTTAGTAGTTGACTTCTTCTTAATTCAGTAAATAAAATAAAAAGATGTTACTGTACTCAGCCATCTGTGAAAAGGTGGAATGGAGGAGCGAAAGAAACAACTTGAGTTTCATCTCACTTTCATACCATTATAGCTTACAAAGCCATTATCAGCCAGCCATTGAAGACTGTCCGTGAGATCCTGGTGAACCAGACAGCTCGCATGTTGGCATGCTACAGAAAGAACTGTGCTAGCCCATCTGCAGTGAGCCAGGTATTTTATATTTTCAGCTGCAAATCTTTGAGTTTTGTGCAATGTTGGCTGTTGGGGTTTAGCTCTGAAATCCCAGTTTTGAACATGGGAGTTTGACAGAAAGATGTACCTTCTAAGGAAATATTGGCCCTCCATGATTTTTAATATGCAGTTTTGATTTCCACCACGTCATCTAATGAGTTTTCCCATTGCAGCCTAGATTGTAAGGCCAACAGATGGCAACTCTCTCTCCCACCCCCACCCCCCAAAAAAAATTCCCATGCCAGTGTAAATGCCAGCACTGGTCCTTCATATGTAAGTGTGGAACCCTTTCTCACTCTGTTACTTTTTTAGCACTGGGGGTTAAGCATGACGTAATGAAGAATGCAAAAATATCACTTTGCTCATTGCCTAATTAATCAGTAAGAGAAACATTGTACATTTTTCACCAGTTGCATCATCACCTTAAAACCATAGGAGGTAAGCACCACCTGCTATCTTGGCATAAAAAACACCAAAGCAAAACTTTGACAAAATTAATTCCCTCTCGTGAACTTTTCCAGCCAAAGATATTTTCAGTTTAATTATCATTTTCATGACCAGTGTTGCCCCCTGGTTGTTCTAGTCAAATCTTTATTCTTGTGCTATGTGTATCCACTGTACGGTGGTACCTCAGGTTACATACGCTTCAGGTTACATATGCTTCAGGTTACAGACTCTGCTAACCCAGAAATAGTGCTTCAGGTTAAGAATTTTGCTTCAGGATGAGAACAGAAATTGTGCTCTGGCGGCGCAGCAGCAGTAGGAGGCCCCATTAGCTAAAATGGTGCTTTAGGTTAAGAACAGTATCAGGTTAAGAACGGACCTCCAGAACGAATTAAGTACTTAACCCGAGGTACCACTGTATATAAAAGAAAAGGGCAAGGTATGTGGTGAATTTTTGGTGCAATTTCCACTGGATATTGTGCCACATCACAAACCGCTTTCCTGCTTAATCATCATATAGGTATGCAGTTACTTTATATGTTTACCACAAAATCAGCCCTTACGTCACCTAGAATGTGGACAGTCAAAGGCAATTTTCAGCTACAGGCAACCCCTGACTTGTGCAGGGGTTGCATTCTGGGTCATCATGGGCGGCAGCAGAGTGTGCACAAGTCTGCTCTGCACCATTATATCCCGGGTTGCAGCGATGCGCGCATGCGCACATATCAAATGCATGTAAACAGTGGTGTAGCTAGCTGCTCAGTGCCTGGGGTGGTGCACCCTGAACCCAGGAGCAGGACAAGCTGCCCGTGGGATGGAGCAGGCAGGCCAACCATGGGGCAGGGTGAGCTGGGGCAGGACTCACTGCAGGGCTTCCAAGGAGTCTGCCCGCTGCCTCCCCATCCGCTGTAGGACTGTAAAGAAGAAGAAGAAGAAGAAGAAGAGTTTGGATTTGATATCCCGCCTTTCACTCCCCTTCAGGAGTCTCAAAGCGGCTAACATTCTCCTTTCCCTTCTTCCCCCACAACAAACACTCTGTGAGGTGAGTGGGGCTGAGAGACTTCAAAGAAGTGTGACTAGCCCAAGGTCACCCAGCAGCTGCATGTGGAGGAGCGGGGACGCGAACCCGGTTCCCCAGATTACGAGACTACCGCTCTTAACCACTACACCACACTGGCTCTCCCAATTAAGGTTTACACCCACTCCCCCCGAGTCACCCTCGTCACTTTGTTGTCTTGCAACCCGATCTCGCAACCACTTTGCTTTCTGTGCTGCCACCTTATCTGCTCATCGTGACTTTGGGCTGGGCAGATGTAGGCTTTCCAGTGAGAGAGAGTCTATTAACTCTCTCTCTTCCAGTTCTTCATCTCCTAGCTGTTCACCATGCAGCTCTTCCCAACTTTTGTCTTCTGAAGTATGTCCCTCTGCAAACCACTGTTCCAAATCTATACTGTCCCACTGCTCCTGGGAACATTCGGGATCCTGATCAGGAGCAGAGAGGGGGAGGCTCCCACCATTCCTCATCTGTGCAGCCCTCCTCAGCACGGTCCCTGACACGCTGCCATTTTAGGCAGCGCAGAGCCTGCAGGCGCCCGAACCACCGTGTCACTCCCAGGGGAGACGTGTGGCTGCAGGCCCCATGGTAAGTGCCGCCCCCCCTCCCCCCCCGTGTGGTGCCCAGTGTGCCCCGTCCCCCCATGTAAATCAGTCATTGCTTGTATGGGGAAATGGTGACTGAACAAACAATAAATGTCAGCCTTTGGTTTGTTTCCTTTGGCACATGTCTGGTGAAATGCTCATTTAAAAATCAAACATTCAATACTGAATAAACAAATGGTGCAGTAGTTTGACTTTACCTACTTTCTTGTCTTCCAGCTTATCCTTCCGGATGCAATGAAGGTGCTCCCAGTCTACATGAACTGTCTCCTGAAAAGCTGCGTGCTGATAGGCAAACCCGAGATTCCCACGGATGAAAGAACTTTTCACCGACAACTGGTCATGTCAATGGACGTTGCTGGCACCCAACTTCTGTTCTATCCACAGCTTCTGCCAATTGTAAGTTGTTGAGAGAGGAGCGGTACAACAGCAGGTATCAGGGCTGGCACCATCACGGACATCCTCCGGGAAGTGCTAGGTGCTGGGAAGGCCTCACTCCATCACCTGACTGCTGATTTTGCTACCAGACAGTGACCACCACCTTGAAGCCACCCAGAGGAACAGAGTTCCATGCTCACACACCAAAATGGACAGCATAATTTTACATACACCAGCCCAAATAAGGCTGGTAACTCAGAGCAGGCATACAGGCCCAGCCCTCTGCTGGGTGGGTGGACAGACTGCCTGCCTGTTTGCCCACAGCAGCAGCCCAGTAACAGAGCTGAGCCAACAGCTAGGCATATCCCACTGGACTTGAGTTGCCATCACCGCCATTTTTAGCTACACCACTGGTAGAGCCAGTGTAAGTAAGACATTGATTGGTTCTGGTGAGTGCATGTGCACAGACCTGGACACTGTACCCAAAACCACTTTCTTGCAACCTCCCCCAACACACACAACCCCTCAGCCACCTCTGAGGGCAGATGAGTGGCCCACAGCAGTTGCAGGAGGCAGCCTGGAAACATCAGACTCTGGAGATGGGCATTGAGGGCAGTTTACTCAGAGCCACGCAAAAGGAGGAGTTGCTCTTGGTAGGTACGTTTTCATTTGTTGTTTAGTCGTTTAGTCGTGTCCGACTCTTCGTGACCCCATGGACCAGAGCACGCCAGGCACCTCTGTCCTCCACTATCTCCCGCAGTTTGGTCAAACTCATGCTGGTAACCTCGAAAACACTATCCAACCATCTCGTCCTCTGTCGCCCCCTTCTCCTTGTGCCCTCCATCTTTCCCAGCATCAGTGTCTTCTCCAGGGAGTCTTCTCATGAGGTGGCCAAAGTACTGGAGCCTCAGCTTCACGATCTGTCCTTCCAGTGAGCACTCAGGGCTGATTTCCTTAAGAATGGATGCGTTTGATCTTCTTGCAGTCCATGGGACTCTCAAGAGTCTTCTCCAGCACCATAATTCCGAAGCATCAATTCTTCGGCGATCAGCCTTCTTTATGGTCCAGCTCTCACTTCCATACATCACGTTTTCATACATGAGTCCAATAGGAAACATTTTTGTGCCCCTTAATGTCCATCTTTGAGCCCCTTATTCCACCTGCCTATTTCTGTATTTCCAATAACTTTGTACCATTCTGGTGATGCCAGTATAGTAAGATAGATAATATTTATTACGGCCATAGGCCCATACAGGTAAAAACAACACATAAGTGACAGCTTGTGCCGTGGGGAAAAGAAAAAACAGTCGCTAAAACACCACTATAACAATAAATACTATAAGATGGAAAGGCATGCTACGCCTTAATTAGCTTGTAGCGCTCCTTGGCGTCGCTTTTGGGAGAGGACAGCGACCAGGAACCTAGCCACTTTCAGGGTCGTGTGGGAATCCTTATCCTGCAAGATTTGGGCAAGGTGGAATTTTGGTGGGGTACCCACTAGTTTCTGTATGATTGATCCCAACAAATTTGCCCGTGGCACATTGAACAAGGGGCAAGTGAACATAATGTGCTGGAGCGACTCCGGCGTCACCTTATCACATTCGCACGTGGCGGGGACTTGGCCCTTTGAGAATCTATGTCTCAGGACATTGGAAGGGAAAACGTTGAACCTCGCTTTGGTGAAGGCCAGTCTATGGGCAACAGTCGAAAGGGAGGAGAGGTATGATGGAACGCAATAAGTTAAAGTGATACCAATGTTCTGGGGCGAACAAACACCTCCTTTTTTTTTTTTTTTTAGATAAGATAGATAATATTTATTACGGCCATAGAGCCAGTATAGTAATACCACAATCCACTGTTGTGGCAATGTGACAAACCCTGGTCATTCCTCAACCCGGGAACATGGGAAACAGCCTTGCACCAAGTGGACTATGGATCTATCTAGCTCAGTATTGTCTGCAATGACTGGCAGTGACTTCCAGAGTTTTAAGATGGGTCTTCTTCAACCCTATCCAGAGATGCTGGAGATTGAATCCGGAATCATCTGCATGGAAAAGGTTTCCCTGTCTTTCCCAACTGGTTACAGAACTACTTGCAAGGCTGCAATACTGAAACATTGGGATGTTCTGTAGCCACTTCTTTTGCAATCTGTCCTGAACTCATATGTGCTGATATATTTGCTTTATATAGTCAGAAAATGACCCCATAATAAAAGGATTGAATTTAGTCTATCCAGTGTTACTGGGGGCAAGTGAAAGGAGATGTCAGTTCAACAGCCTACAGTTGGTGTGGCAGATGGAAAATAAAATTGTTTAGGTTCAAAAAATATTTGGAAAGGTGCATGATAAGCAACTAGAACAGCTTTCTACCATTTTATTCATCTAGCAACAATATTTGCACTATTTACTTGCAGTGAACATACTGTAAAGAAAAGGACTATGTGCTAAACAATCTAACCTTATCATTGCAGCACTCTATGGATGTAAAAAGCGACGTGTTCCCCTCTGCTGTTCGCTGCTCCGAAGAACGTCTGTCTGAAGGAGGACTATTCTTGCTGGCAAATGGGGTACACATGTTCTTGTGGCTGGGAGTCAGTGCCCCACCAGAGCTTATCCAGGGGATATTTAATGTGCCCTCCTTTGCACATGTCAGCACAGAGGCTGTGAGTACACATGGGGGTGTAAGATGGGGGGTGTTGCATGCTTGCCTTGAAATGCAATCTCCAGCTTTAACTTCTGTTTAATGATAAAATGTCCACTGGCAACTACCTACACCTTTAAGATCATCACCCCCCCCCTTACTAGTCAAGGGGGCTGAAAGTACAAACACTCTGCCAGTTCACAAGCAGGCAGTGGTAAAGAACCAGGGGTGGGTTTCTGCAGCTGAAGGCTATTCTAGATGAAAGGAAAATACTAAGTTTCTCAGTACGAATATTAACACCCCTCCTCATCTGCTCAGGATAATGGCTACCCAGCTGTTGTTCTCTGGCTGCATTAGAACCTCACCCCAGCAGAGTAACATGTGGGTCAGCGTTCTTTAATTCAAGGGAAGCCCAACCCTTTACAGTTTAAAGAGCTGTAGTATAAATTGGATGTGCAAACAGATTTTCTTTCTGTCCTACCCCCAGCCCATTCATAGGGCTTGAAATGTTCCAAATTTAAAAACACACACACACACACACACACACACACACACAGAGCAATTCTGCACACCTCCAGAGACTTCAGTATACAGTGGTACCTTGGGTTACAGACGCTTCAGGTTACAGACTCCGCTAACCCAGAAATAGTACCTCGGGTTAAGAACTTTGCTTCAGGACGAGAACAGAACTTGTGTGGCGACAGTGCAGCGGAAGCAGGAGGCCCCATTAGCTAAAGTGGTACCTCAGGTTAAGAACAGTTTCAGGTTAAGAACAGACCTCCAGAATGAATTAAGTTCTTAACCTGAGGTACCACTGTACCTGAAGGAGCATCTCCATCCCTGTCATTCAGCCGGGACACTGAGGTCCAGCTCCGAGGGCCTTCTTGTGGTTCCCCCACTGCAAGAAGTGAGGTTACAGGGAACCAGGCAGAGGGCCTTCTTGGTAGTTGTGCCCGCCCTGTGGAACGCCCTCCCATCAGATGTCAAGGAAATAAACAACTATCTGACTTTTAGAAGACATCTGAAGGCAGCCCTGTTTAGGGAAGTTTTTTATGTCTGATGTTTTATTGCTTTATCATCATCATCATCATCATCAATTCTGTTGGGAGCCACCCAGAGTGGCTAGGGAAACCAAACCAGATGGGTGGGAATGAATGAATGAGTTAAACATTATTGAAATCCTCTTTAAAACTCTAGTACTTTCTGTGACTTGGGAAAGGAAATAAGTCAACATAATATGGGAAGCAGAAAGGAAACACGCAAGATGCTATATGCAATTGAAAAGCAAAATGTCATTTATAGAAGAAAATCAGAATTTGCATGGTGTTAAGTTGCAGCGGTAGCCCCAATTTATGGGAATTGTTGTGGCGCATGTATTTAACTGGGTTTTCATGTTACAGAGAGCTAAGTTGCAGCTGTTGGCATAGCAGCCTATATCAAATTTCTTTGCTTTTTGTAATATCTAAGTTGCAACTTAATATGGGTGATTAAGACCCATATTAAGAGAATGGATTTAACACTTTATTCCTTCTATGGTCCCAGTCTGGACCACACACATACACACACACACCCCACTGCTATTTGTCCCAAAAGAAAGTTACAATTGACACCAAATACTAGCTAGCCACATAGAAGATCTGGATTGGGAATATGGGTGGGGGCAAAGGTTTTAATCCCCTACCACCCCAGAATCTGGAAAAGAAAATGAGGCAGGCCAAAGGAAGTAATCACGGCTGCTTACTGCAACAAATACAATGTCCAAACCCATGAACAATTATAATCAAAATAAATCCACAGTTGCAAATAGTAATCCAGATTAAAATCCAATGCAATTTGGTCACACCCTAGAAACCTCCCATCTCCCACAATATGCAAATAAGCCTGTCTTTTGACCTAAATCAATTCTTTTATACATTAATTTTCTGTGCGTTTTTATCATGCAGACACTTCTTCCTGAAGTGGACAATCCCTACTCTAAGAAACTGAGATCAATGATTGATCATCTGCAGAGCAAAACACCTTATTCCATGAAGGTAACAGATTAAATTTCCCTTGTAATGCTATTTTAAAAATGCTTGCTGAACTGTGCAGTTTTGACATGGGGATAGCAAACAGAACTTCATTCAAACCTTTTCTGCTTTGTGTTCATTGAAGTTTGTTGAAAGGTGCAACAGACTCAAGGCAGTATTTTTGAATTCTTAACAGCTGGATCACAACTTTTTTTTCCAGATCCTGATTGTGAAGCAAAGGGAGCAAGCAGAAATGGCTTTCAAACAATTCCTGGTTGAAGACAAGAATATTTATGGAGGAGCTTCTTACGTGGATTTCTTGTGTTGTGTTCATAAAGAGATCTGTCAGCTGCTCAACTAATGGATGCTTGAATTTTAATTCTCTTTGCATTTTGTCAAAAGGGACTATTCTTAAGTGACCAACCACCAGAAGGTGCTTTTTAACGCTACTTTTTTGTACAGTTTCTAATTTCATACACTAGTGCCCCTTTTCATAATAATGTAGCATAGGCAAGTCTGCGCTCAGGTATAACTCCTATGGGAGAGCATTTATTGTTCTTTAAAAGGAAAAATATTTCTTATGGCAAGATCTGGAATCCTGGAATCTTTCAATGCTTAAAAGCGTGTGGTTTTCATTTCATAAACTTTCAATAAATTGCAAAGCATTATAAAGTTGTTACCTTTGATTTTTAGTGCTCATGAACTGATCGTTTTGTTCTCAGCCCTGTTATGGTCTATTTACAGTTTCTTGAGTTGATACACATTTAAGTAACTGTTCTTTTCGCTTTGTGTGCTGTGATGCACCATGGTAACCAAAATATCAAGGAGTTGGAGCACTTTCCTTAGGATGAAAGGCTTAAAAACAGGGGTAACAGACACGGTGTCCTCCAGACATTGTAATTCCCATCACTGACCATTGGCCGTGTTGGCCGAGACTGATAGGAGTTGTAGGCCAACATCTGGAGACCATACTGCCTGCTCCTGTTGCTTAAAGCATTTGTGGCGGATAAAACAGAGAAAGTGGGCAAAAGTTTTTCTCCCTCTTGTAACGTTAGGACTTTTAGTAACTCAGTGAATGGCTGCTGTAACTAGGTAGGTCTTTTAGTTTCAGCCAGCAGGGTGCTACTTATGCACTAAACCAGTGGTTCCCAATTATTGCAGTCCTCTTGTTTTTCTGAAGCCAAGCTCTGGACCTCCTACTTTTGAAAAATGTTGATACGTATATCTGGAGTAGTTTTTGCTTTGTGAATGGTGCCACGATACCCTCCAACATGTCCCAGTGCAAAACTGGAATGCCATCTTCTGTGCTGCACTCCCACATGAATCACATTACCCACACGAAAGCACAGCGCCCCAAAAATGTGTGGTTTTGGGTGCCGCAATCTCATGTGTTTGGGGGCGAAAGCACAGCCCCCAAAAGCAGGCTGTCCCGGACCATTGACAGGTATGTTCCATGGACTCACTGGGTGGGTTATGTGGACCCCCAATTGGGAACCACTAAATTAAACTGTTAGTTTAGGACACTTTTTCTTAACAGCTTGATACGTTTTCCATCTTCATCTTGGTCTATCCTGTGTTCTGTTGCATCGTAACAGAAACAGTATTTCATAGTCTTTTATTACAAGAGGCCACTATCGCTATACTACACTGTTCTTGCAAAAGGACCCTACCTGCCCAGACTTAAGTGTCCATGATGTAGTCCACCTTCATGTTTCCATAAGTGCCTCTAGGAAGTGCATAAAGGACATTAAGCCATCTCCTGGTGTTCATCCCAAGCTTCTGGTGTTTGAAGTATATTGTCTCTGATTATGAATTTTCGTTCAGCTGTTGATGGATGTATATGAATGTCTGATTCTTTTAAAAAGCCATCTAAATTTGTAGAACGTAAGATTCTTCAGAAGCTGGAAATTACTACCTTGAGAAATAAACTATTACTTTAGTCCTACAGTAGCTTTTATCTTTACTTAACTAAGACCATTTTAAAAACATATTTTACATCCCCAATTTTCTTGGAGTTGGCAATATACAGGATGCAATCAATCTCTTCCAGTGGTGCCTTCTCTCATGTAGGATGTGGAAATACACTGGTCTTCAAAAAAATCATAGGTTGCACAATAAACTGACTTTAGAATTTCGTTCCCATTCCACTAGGTGGCAACTCTACCTAATCAAACCAGAAAGGTTAACCCAAGTCACACATTTGTCTTAGATACTGCATAAAGTTTCACAGCTGAGTCCTCATTTACAGACTTGCATAAAATCACAGTTCTATGGGAAAATGTATTACTACAGTAAATTAGGATTTAAACCTGCAAAGCTGAACGTGAAAAGTGACAAGAACCCGCTTATGGAAATAAATATATAAAATAAAGGCAAGCATCCAATAACATAATTATACATTTATCAAAAATAGTAAAAATACATTCCATCACTTAAAAAGACATTTAAAAACTGGCTTTCAGGAACCAAAGTACAAGAAATTTTGAGTCTTTACAACTTCTTGTCAGGAGGATTCCTGACAAGATGAGCTGAAATTTCATCAGATTTCATCATATACAACCAATCCATAACATCAGTTTTTTTTTTAAAAAAAGCAAAGAAAATTAAAATGATCATGGGGGGGGGGGAGAGAGAAAGGGAGTACAGCCTGTAGCCCCCACTCTGTTGTTTATGTGGATCAAAGCACCTGGCTGCAATAAAAGAGCAAATGAATTCATATTTACAAGCAGTATTTTAGAAGTAATTTCCTATCATTTTGGTATTATACATACTTACAGCACAATCCAGCCTGGAACCTTCTGAAGTCCCAACAGCTTCAGCAGGAAATTCAGCATACCTGAATTTCTTCCACTAAATTGCTTCAGTTTAGTTGGACCATATTCTTAAGTGTTTTGAGCCTTCTGCAAGTAAATCTAAACTTTAATTTTTCAGCCAATGAATATGGTAAATTGTTATAGATATTATCAAGATTTTAAATTTTTTTCTTTTTTAAAAAAGGCAGCCATCACCACCACTTTGCATCATTCCCTGATTACACACATATATGGACTATGTTCTGACATACAGATATGAGGTATCAACAGAATACTGATAACAGGTTCTCTGCGCTTCCTAGCAATCATTAGTCTCAAAGTCAATCACCTCTTAAAAGAAAAAATTAACATATTTGTCACAAGTTGTTAATTAAAATGCCAAATATAATAGTTTCTCTAGTATTGCAATGGGAACTAGAGTTGCATTTCATTAGCCTGAGAATAAATAGTGTTTAGAGGAGGCAAGCAAGGATTTTTGGTTCGGTTTATGAGTCAAGATTAACAGTAAATAAAATGATTTGCAAATCGGGAAGACCGAGAGTTGATGAGAGCTCTTGAAACCACTGGGAGGTGTTTCTGCTTTGATTTCAACTTTTGTGAATGAGATCTGTCACAAGCACTGGATGTTACTCATCAAGGAAGCTGATGTGCTGTAAATGGGCTGGTTCAAGAAGCATGTACATAAAAAAGAAAGAATACAGTCGGTACTAAAATTCTGGACTCAGTCGCTACAACCTCAGCAGAACGAAGACTTCAAACAAAGGAAAAGCAGTGGTATTAAGGCAGGGAAAGATTGAGACTTTGATATGTTCAACGAGGAGGAAAGCCACCCCGGTGGGTACCACCCCGTCCTCCCCGGAACCCTCCCCTTTCCCCCCGAAAATTTGTTCTGTTTCTCTCTCTGCCCCTTTCTCCTCGGCCAGCTGAAGTCCCGCCTCTTCCTCCACCCCTCGGTGCGCCACCACCTCGGTCTTTTGGCGGCGGCGATTTAGGCCTGAGTCTCTCAATCTCTTCTGTACAGCCAGTTAGGTTGGAATTTGGAGCTGTGAAATAGGACGTATATGTTTCTGCGTTGAAGTTGCTGTTTGTGAGTGTGGGTCCCACGGTTAGCCAGCCTAAAAGGAGAAAGAAAAGCAGCAAGCAGTGAGATGCAGAGTTCAGTGCCTTGGTTACCACCAGACTGGATTACTGTAACACTACAGAAAGTTATAGATATTGTAGGAATGGAAGCAAACCATTGTTACACACACACACACATACAAACCCTACTAGGCTTGGTAATCAGATGCTAAAAGCAGAATCTGAACTCCCATTGCTGAACTGCTGCTAGGGAGGTTCACAGACGAAGGTCAGATTACTGCTCGGTGGAAAGAGAAGAGAGGCAGGCAAATACACCACCACATTTGCAGAAGGTGGTCAAGAAAGAAGCAATAATTGGCCAGTATTCCTGCACTTCCTTTCCTTTGTTTTTAGAATCCTTTCATCAGTTCTGCTTAGAAAGTGAGCTCTCAAGGAGTATGCATTTATCATTGTTAGAAAATGCATGATCCATGACTCGTGAGAGGAGAGCCTATAAATCCAACATTCTAGTGCCAAAACGAAACTCTCTACAATGCAGTAACCAAACAAGATATACCGTATTTTTCGCCCCATAAGGCGCACCGGCCCATAGGACGCACCTAGTCTTTTGGGGGGGAAATAAAGAAGAAAAAAATTATTTCCCCTCCAGGCGCGGGGCTGGGGTGGGAAGCTGTCCCCAGAGCTTGTGGGGCTGGCGACGGGGAGGAGCAGGCTTCTCCCGCCGCCAGCCTTCTAACCAAGTCGGGGGACAGCGGGAAAGGCATGCTGTGCCTCTCCCGCTGTCCCCCGAGCTTGCAGGGCTAGTGGTGGGGCTCTCCTGAAGCCTGGAGAGCAAGAGGGGTCGGTGCGCACCGACCCCTCTCGCTCTCCAGGCTTCAGCGAAGGCCTGCATTCACCCCATAGGATGCACGCACATTTCCCCTTCATTTTTGGAGGGGAAAAGTGCGTCCTATAGGGCGGAAGATACGGTACTGTGCACAAATCTTTATTCGTACATGCCTCTCTTCAGAAAACTTTATTCACCGTTGTGATACTCAGCTAGCATTGGGGAGATCCTCCACTCACTCCAGCACTTAAGTGGAGAAATTTTGCACATAAAAGTTGCATGGTCTCTTTGTAAAAGGAATTTGATTTTGGCTCAGTTCCAGATGACATCAGTAGCTCTGGTTATTGCACTCCCTCTCTCATTTTATCCCCACTTAACTGGTGTATATCTCAACAAAGGGTAGAAATGGGGAGCCCTAACTTATGTGTCAGCACAACATGGCAAACCATGACAGTCTGCTGATATCAAAGAAAATGCATTTATTCTGATGCATATGTTTAGGATCAGGGTAGGAGTATACGAGCTAATATGCTCCTCTTGTTGGAGAACATGTTTTCTCAAACTCAATCAACCAAACAGCTGGAATGAATCAGAATACAATCCAGTCACTGCCCTCTGCACCAAGACAGAATTCACCACATCTTAACTCTTCTAAGATCAACCCAGCTTTACATGAAAACAGTGGACCATTTCGCTGAATATTGTTTTCTCTCTGATCTTAGGCTTTGGAAAAAAAATGTTTAAAAAGGAGTTAGAATAAGAATCTGCATAACAATTATCTTTCCTTCATTAATAACAGGAATTACTTAGCATTTGTGCATTGAAGATCCCAGCACAAATAATTCTTCAATTCACATCTTACACGGCAGACAGCAGAACTTAGGTTCTTGCATTCTCATTCTCATTTCCTCCTCCCCACCCCCAAGTGCCTTAACTCTGAAATATTTATGTTCCCATCATGTTCTCAGTCCACTTTATTGAAAAAAATAGTCTCTTGCCTATGGAAGCTCATGCTCTAATGAATCAGTTAGTCTAGGAGTATAAGTAGATTTTGTATTTGGCTGCAACAGATTAATGTAACTACTCTCTAAAGAGTTTCTTTCTCCCACTCATCCACACTATTAATCTTTATAAAAGGCCTACCTCTCCTGGAAAAACTTAGAAATAATGATTAAGTATCAGAATCAGACCAACACTAACCTGGTCGGATTGTGCTATCCCGGCCAAAGAGGTGAAGCCGTCGTCTTCCAAGGCAAAAATGTTCAATGATGTGAAATATTTCCACTGGTTTCTCTATATTGCCAATTTCAGGCTCTTCTGTGATAATTAAATCTATGTCGACGTTAGCATGGATAAAGTCTCCATCCGTACTACGACGGACTGTTCCTTTAATGCCCATAAGGCAGTGTTCCTAGGTAGAACAACACCAAAGAGAAAGCTTTTGGAAGTATATCAGACGCACACAAGAAAATGCCAACCCTGCAAATCCGCATGTCACATATATACAACTGATTGTGGGAGACAGAACACTGCATGCCACTTCTTTTGAAGATCCATCTAACTAGCCAGAGACCAAGACAATGAATGCAGAAATTCTACTTTCTCAGCCGCAGATATCTTTTAAAAATTGAGCATCAAAAGCATGAAAATCATTATTCTAAAGAGTGTGACCAAGTCCTCAGAAAGTGTTTCTAAAGTGGAAGTGATTGTTATAAAAGTGTGCAAAGTGCACAACAGAGATATGTTATGAATAGCAAGGTTAAATCTGCCCCACATTATGGAAGATAAAAGCTTGAGCAACTGAAGAAGCGTATTTTATAAACCCTCCTGAAGTGGTTACCAAAGCTGCCATCTTTCCCAGCACCTCTTATCACTAGAGGGTGGGTTTGCCCTCCACCTGAACTGACCTGCCTCTTCCAGTCCAAACCAAATGAAGTAGACAGGCACTATACAAAGAGCTTGTGTTCTGGGCACTGACTGGTGGTGCAGAGAAGAGCTGTAGGTGACCTGTATGCTCAGCACATATTTGCCTTACGCTGAATTTTAATGCTGCTCTCAACTGTGATTTAACAGCTGTGTTTTTATTGGCCATATAGATTGGTTGTGTTAGTATTATATAAGTCCTGTTGGCTGAAGAGCACAGAAAAGATATCTAAAATAAGGAAGTACTGGCACTGGAAAGGTACAGGACAGGGATGTCAACTTGGATAAAGTATCGGGGTCCAGGT